GCCGGAGGGGCAGGAGCCGGGACCATCCCCGTGGCACGGGGCACCGCGCGCTCCCGCCGGGTGTAAACCCAGCCCAGGCAGCGCGCTGCAAACGCTGTGTTAGAGCCGACCGCTCTGTGTGCGACTGCGGGAGCAAACAAGCCCATCTTTTAAGAAATCGAAACATTTTGTTATTTAGGACGCGTTTCACTCGTGTGCATTTTGTTGCCTGCAAGTATAAATCTTTGAAGTGCAAGTTATAAATATTAAAGCTTAAATGCATAGGGGGAGTATGTGTATCAAATTTTAGAATAAATTTATTCCAACCCAGTTTGACACACACACGCCCAACGTGTTCAAGATGCACTTAAATCAGGGAACAGTTATTTTGTTTTACAACGGTAGGTGCCTGTTTCAGAGACTGGTGAATGACTTAACAACAATAATTAGCATATTTATATAACACGTTGTTGTTAATACATGGGTTTTTGAATCTAAGAGACATCAAAGTCATCTATAGTATCACTTCCTGAACCAGAGTGATTCCTGGAAGTATGAAGCAATGACTTGCTTGGGTTTTCACCCCCACTCAAACTACATCTGTGCATATATTCACAGTCTGAAACATGTAATCCTGCCCCAGAGAGAGTGGGTGCACGTCAACAACACAGCGTGTCTTCAACTGACATCTGGTTGCAAAACAAACTGCTATTAAGGACCTTTTTTTTTTCCATTTTTCCCTCCTTAGTTCTTTTCTTCCATCTTCCTCTCATCTCTGGAAGCTCCATCCGTATTGGAATAGGCAGCAATTATTCCAATCTCTGTAAGTAGTCTCTTTTTCCTTCTTCTTTTTTTTTTTTTTAAACTGCATTAATGGCATATGCCTTGCAGTCATGTACAGCTGTAGGAATATTATATTTAAAGCCCTCTAGCAGATAAACATCGATGCATTAAAAAGCAAATAGATTCCTGACTGAGAAAACAACTGAGTTAACAGAAATTGACTTAACCTTTTGATATTTATACAGACAAAACGCATAGAAATGAGTGAGAGAATTGTGTGAAATAGAGGTCCATAAAATTTGATGTCAGGTACAAGTACTTCAATATTTCCTCTTAAAAGCTTTTTTAAAAAAATCCTCCTTTTCAGCATTTTCTCCCACAACAACAAATTAGCACATAAGTGCTAAAACTGATTTACGAATTGAACACACTGACATCAGTCAAAATTTGTATCATTCTGGAACTCACTAGTGAAACAAATGTGGCAAAAAATTACTTCCAATCATTGAAATAAAACAATTCCTGACTTTTTACTTCCTTCCACTCCCCTTTTTATGATTGACTTTTATAGTTAATACATGGACGTTTTTTTAAAAGGAAATAGAACATTATAGGAGCCAATTCTGCCCATGTCACTGGTCCTATTTTGGCAGAAAACCATATGTATGCAGGGAAGTGAGTAGCACATCCAATTTCTTAGATGAGAGAATGCATAATGATAAAAAGATATGCGCAACAATTAAAACAAGCAAGTTATCTCTCAGAGCAAGTGCTGCAGCTCAAGAAAAGCCATACTGAAATGTTGTAACCAGATTATGACTTCAGTAACAACTTTGAAGCTAAGATGCCCATTATGGGTGAGAAATCATAGGATTAAACCTGAAGTTTAAAGCAAGAAGAGGTAAAAAGCTATCTTATTTACTTTGGAACATAGAAAAAGGAATTAGCGAATTGCCTGTAGACTTGGCAAAATATACTTGATGTGCTTGTGTTGTTACAGGTTAATCCGGCAAAAATACTGTTTAGGTTATTAAACCACGACATTTTTGCACTGAACTGTTGGTTTTACATTACGCATGAAATGACATTTCATAGCACTTCATTACATATGTAGCCAGTATATGTTTAGTTTGGGGATTCGTATCAGAATAACATAATTTCTTATCCATTCTTCGCTTTCATGTTCCTTGACCCTTAGGCTCAGATTTTTCCCTGCCATTGCCTCTCCCAGAGAGACCACTTCTTCATGGCAAGACAACTTTGTGTTGCATTAACTTTAGATTAGTGGAGTTTTGTAACAGCATTGTTGCAGCAAACAGTTCAGAGTAGTCCGAGTATTGCCTTAATTTTTAAATGGGTGCCAAAGTCTAGTCAAAATTAAGTGTTCTTAGGACAGTATTTTTGTTTTACTTTGGCCTCAACTGAGTACAATTCAGCCAGGCCCAACATTCTGGCCTTCTACACAAGAGCTATCGTGTTTAATTACTGTAATGTCTAGATTGTGAAATGTTCTACTGACAATCACAGATTAAAATGACACCCCGTGGGCAATAGCCAGAAAAGAAAAAACGAACAAGCCGAACCAGGGCTTGTATTATACTTTTATAGTGAACACGGAAAGGGACTGGTGTTATCCCAGACCCTTACTATGTACTACAGGAAGGAGACTACATACTGGATTGTTCAGGTGTACAGAATTCAAGTATGCCATGTACTAGACCTGTTTACTCTCCCAACACTGAATTTCCTAAGCAAGTGCAAAGACCCAGGAGCAGGACTGCAGCTTCTCTCACATGGAGTCAGCTGTTTCTCATGAATACTGCATCTTGTACAGGACAAAGGGGTAAAGTCACAAAAGCCAAGTCCAGGCAAGCTAATACTCAAGAAGGGACCTATGTGACTTCAAACGCGCAATACCAAGGCGGGTTGACAGTTCCAGCATTCAATGGAACTTGCTGATCAGAAATAAAATTTGCCATTAGCTTTGTTGCTTTAAATGTTTCTTTCAGAGAGAAACACTGGATTTTCTTTGCAAAGTGTTTTCAGCTTTTTGCCAGTTATGTGGGGTTTTTTTAAAGTAAAAAGTCAAAATTATCTCTAGAAAATATTGATGACAATAAGTACAAATCATTATTAGAACCTCAGTCAGTGTTTGTAATACTTAAAAGAAGAGAGCCCAAAATCGTCAGAGAAGTAAGAAGGCAGACAAAGGGTTCTACCCAAACTGCCTTCCCTTCCAGCATGCCCCTGCCTCCTCCACCTCTTCCCCAGCAGTTCTGAGATTCATCTCTGAAGAACCAGACTTTAAGCACAGGTAAAAGCAAACAAATCAACCGATTTTCCAATCAATTATCCAGATTGCCAATACATATCACCTATTATAAAAAGTTGTTCATTTTACAACTACTAAGTGATTATATAGTTATGTGTTTAAATATTAGTAAATCTCTTGATAACCGTATTGAACGATGTCTCTGCTGTACGTCTAAGAGCACAAGGAATGTCCAGAGATCTGTAAAAAAATTCATTTGGATGTATAAATCAGGAAAACCAAAGCTATAAAAATATGCAGACAGTGTTTTAAAATCCTGCATTAAGACTCCTGTGTTATAACCTTTATAGAACTTAGAAACTTTCTCGTACTAAACAGAATCATCTCGCAAAATCAAGAAGGAACAAAAGCATTCAGACTGCGGTGCTTTCGTCTTTCTGCATGAAAACCCACCTAAGCCAGGCACAGGGATATACTTTCTAGAAAGGAAAAGTGCAGAAAAACCTGATCCTAAAACCGGTAGGCCCTTGAGTAGACACTTTGGATGCTGTCCCTCAGCATTTGGCTGACACACCGTAACACAGCTGGCTGCCAGCTGTGCTGTCACTGACTGCAGCTCAGCGAGCTGTGCGGAAACCCCAGGACAACAGTGGACGGTTGAACAAACTTCTACTCATAAACAAGGAAATCTTTCTGTACACAGCAAGAATATAACGCTTTCTCCACTGCTGCAGACTCCCTGGTCTGTTCTCCTCTAGAACTCTTGTTCTTGATGGCAAATCCTGTATTTTTCCCAGAACAGTCTCCAAACTTGGGCAGTTTAACACAGTCAAGCCAGTACTCAGTGAACATAACTTCACATGTGGAGCCCAGTGCCTCAGCTCAAACAGGTGAAGAAACTGGGTGATTTTGGGTCTGTGCAAGTATCTTACAGTGCTTCTGTTGGCTGCACCAGGTTTGAGATCTGCAGAAAGACAAGAGGTTGCTTCAAGCCTGTGCGTGACAGCTTTTCTGAGAGCTGGTGTCCTGGAAAGGATACACCATGCCAGGAAGTTTTAAGGGACAGACTGACAGATTTGCACAAAGACTTCTGCACCCCGCAGCTGTATATTCCCTTGCACTTGTGGGATGCCTTGAGAAGTGTCAGTGATCAAAGCACCAACATCTACCACCAGTTACCAGTCTCTCTCTCCTCTAATAGAGGATGCTAGAAACCATGTATGTCTGTGATGCCAGGCAGTGAGGGAAACACATGGTCTAGTTGCCTCCTCTTCTCTAAGTGCACAGCAAAATTTAATCCCCAGAATAATCTGCTCTTTATTTTCCTTCACTGATTTTTTTTTTTTTTTCCTAAAAATGTGGATGTTTTCTGAAGGACCCATCTCTCCCTGCAGTTTTCCACATTGCACTTCAGGCTTTAATGACTCCAACTACACATAATGGAAGGATATTCAAATATCTCCAGAACCACAACTCGGAAATTCTTTGTTCTTCTCCTCCAAATAAGTCATATGCTCAGTATCTTTCTGCCATCAATTTATTTTATTATTGCTTGAAATCATCTCAGTTGCATCAAAAATCATTTTTTCACCTTTTCATTTATTAGACTGGAATCTGCACTCCAGTTTCTCTCCCAGCCTGACAATTTCTCATCCTTGTTTATGAGGATGTAGGCTGACAACTCCAAATCGTTCACTTCCACTGTAACTACTGATTTAATGCTTTAGTTTCAGCAGCTTCTCCCAACTCCTACCTCCCATTCCCTCCATTTTAGTGGAAAGAATAGCATATTAGAATTTGTTCCTGTGCAGTTACTATGCAAAAATACAGATTAGAGTCCAACTCTGCTCCCTATCAAATATGTAGAAATAATGCTTTAGTTTTTGAAGGGGATCTCATCAAACTGGTACAAGCAGCCATACTGAGAAAGCTCTCAGAGAAGAGTAGTGGGAGAGAGATGTTTTAGAGGTGCTGAGCACCAGCAACTCTTGCAGTCCGACATTTCATTATTATATAATGATTGTATTTGAACTATATGTTCAAGCACCTAAAAACGCAGTAGGTGCCCAGACGCCTTTACGCAGAGCATCTTTCAAGGAGAGGTGGACATCTCATTGATTATGAGCTTTTGTAAAGCCTACTTAAGAGTCTCTATCTTCAGATGCTTTGAAAATTTGGCCTCGAATTCACAGCTGGCAGAAGCAAGCAATTCAGTTGGCTTTGACGACATTTATGCAAACAGTGAAATTAGTTCCAAGACTTAACACATATCTAGCTAGAACTTCCTGAAGTCCCTCAGAATGTTTTTTAAAATGACGACATTATACGACATTGAGATACCTACTGTCTTCAAGGACCTGTGTGAAGATAATTCACTAGAGGACATTCCTGCCAAAGCCACTTGATCACTGTCTATTCTTAATGCAAATAATGCTTCTATGACACTTTGTTTCTTTGGCCTCTTTAATTCTAAGTTTCTTATCTTTTAATTGCTGGTTTTAGTTGCAAATGTGTTAATCCCTTTACTTCTATCATTAAAATGAGGATTTTCCTTTCAGCAATTGTTTCCCTTCTTCATTAGAAGCATTATAAAAAGAAATAGTGAAATATGTGCAGTTTTTAAATTTTTTTACTTTTCAGTCCTATTGGTAATTAATCTTTTTTAGTTTTGTGATTTAAGAGAAGCAGCTCTGTAAGCATCTGATCTTTACAGGTTTTTAGCACCCTAGTTTTATTTTGAAATAGCTGCAAAATTGTTACAGGATTAC